ATCCCACAACAATTTGAACCCCCATTACATGAGGGTTCAGATGAAGGTATTCCAAAGCAGCGCACTTTTAACAACTTGTGCCCACACCATGTACACTGGGAGCAGAGCTGGGCTGATGCAGCCCAGCCCTGCTCCTGGTGCTGTTTTCAGAATGGGGAGGTGGAAGGGAGTGGAGGGAGTTCTGCCTGGGGTTTTTTCAGCCAGCACTGCAGGGGGGGGTGTGGACTGGAGACCCACCAAGGTGGGGGCTCCAATCCACCCAACCTCCAGCACCATCTGAAAAACAAAAAAACAAAACAAAACAAAAAAAAAAACAGACTAAGCGCCTTCTGCTCCCTCTCCCATTCCCATTCTGAAGATAGAGCCAGGGCTGGGAGGGGGAAAGGATGAGACTAGGGGAGAAGGGCTGCAGACTCACAGCTGCTTCAAATTCCAGCTGGATCCCCCAACCCCTAGGACCCAACAGTGAATGCCTGTTGCGTCTGGCAGATCATTGTAACTCGTGGTGCTTCCTGCAAAGTGCCATGAGTTACAGAGGGGAGCTGCACTTCTGTCTGCACCCATAATGTTCTGGAATCCACTTCACAACCCAAGCATCAAGAAGTTAGATGATCTGATGCCCAAAATTCTCTATCACCTCTAGGCCTAAAAAGCTTCTGTTCTGGGAGTCTTTGCAGGTCTACATAGTTGTCAGTCATGTAGTGTGTTTGGAAGGCTCTTCATGTATTAAAAATGAGCAGGTAAAGTGCAATGAATAATTTACTGAGGCACTGTCCATAAACAGCTATGTTTTGCAAAGACAGTCTTGATCCTACAAGCTGGACCACGCAAAACATTTCAGCTGCACAGCTACAGCTGTGTAGCTATGGGAGTCTGTCTTTACTGAGCAGCTTCCCAGACAAGAACCTTTTCCAATTTATTTGTCATACAATTTCAGTTGACAGTCTGTAGATAGTTCACAAGCACCTGGTTGCAGATAGGTCAGTGTTGGTTAGTTTGTATTCAATGTATAGAACTCTCACACAGTTATTTTTATTCTTTAACCATAGCTCTAAAAATTAAGTTCACCTTAGAGGCTATTTTCCGCTATATGCAAATCACACAGAACATTACAAAAATGATAAGTTTGTTCAAATGTGACAACTCCATGACTACAGAAAATAATTACATTACATGGTTTTTATTTCATAACATAGTGGAACTGAGTTTAGCTTTAGTATAATTTATACAATAATTTATACTTCTATGGTTAATTTAAATCAGTTACATAAAACCATGTTTCTATGCACTTTGCATTTTAATTACATTATATATTTTTTCTGTTAACCAGCAATATACCAAAAAAGTGGCAGATATGTGCATTGTTTCAAGTTTTCAACATTTTCCCTTGGTGTATCAGGATTTGCTGTTACGGTCCTGTCAAATTTAAATTGCATTACAACTAAAAAAGCATTAAAATATATTACATTTCCCTTCCTCAAATGAAACCATGACATCATGTCCTGAAATAATACTGAAGCAGCTAGCTAATACAATTTTAGGAAAAAATAAATACAATCTAGGAAACAGCAATAAAACAAATCCTAGCACTTTGTCTTTCATATATAGTGCTTCTTCTATGTTCATGTTCAAATGACTGTACTTAGAGTTTCATCTAAAATTGCCATATCAAGAAGTCCAATATTTTTGTAGGCCCTAGTTCAGTAAAGAATGTAAGCACCTGCTTAAGTTTCAGTTTGTAAGTGATCGCATAAGTTTTAATAAGACATTTAACATACCGAACTAAAAATTAAGTATGTACTTAAGTGGTTTGCTTTTTAGGAGCTTCAATAAACTAAAAATATAGTTTGTTAACTGTGTATGGATCTCCCAAACTATTTTTATCCTAAGCTCAGCAATGATTCCCATGCTGTTTTGACACAGGCAGTCCCAGTGTCACGTTTACATTAAGATAGTAAATATCTGAGCATTTTCAAGGAAAAAGTCAAACTTTTCTTCAACGTTGACCTTCCACACTGTTCTGAATTGAAATCTGGCTTAGAGGCTTTTGTCTAGAAACTAGTATGTCTAATTTAGTTATGTTAGAGTGATGTTGTAGCCAGGATGCTCCACAACCTGTATGAGAGGCAAGGATTTCTTAGGGTGATATCCAAGGATCCAGGTTTTCCATTTCCCACAGAAAAATGGAAAAAACCACAGATTATCCCTTTTAACCTAGAAAAAACTTGGATTGTTCATTTTAACAGAGCAACATGTGGATTGTTCATTTTTGCAAAGAGCTCCCCGCAGGCTGGCGGAGTTCCAGCCTGAAAGGGGATGGGGAAGTGGGAGGAGACCGGTTAGGCAGGAGGCACTGGTGGCAGAAAGGGGGGCTAACAGGGCTTAGCACCCCCAAATGTGGGACAGTGGCAGGGCCGCAAGGCAGCCTGGCCATGGGCTTCCAGTGGCTGCAGCAGGGGTGGGGAGGGGTGTGCATGCAGCAGTGAAAGAGGGAGTGGGGCTAGGGCCGGGGCTGGGACAGGTGCTGCACAGCCAGGTTGGAGTGCAAGACTGAACTATGAGTGCCTCGTCCAGGGGCTGCAGCTCCTGCTGCTACCTGCATCCCAGGAGCCGTGGGGAAGGGGGTGCCCCAGATCTGCGTGGGGCAGGGTGAGCTGCTGCTGTGGGCTGAAGCCAGGGCTGCACCAGGTTCTTTCCATCGGGGAGGTTAGGCCAGGCTAAGCTCGGGGCGGGTAGCAGCAGTGACGCTGGGAGTGGGGCTATGTGGGGGAGCTGCTGCCACTCCAGCGTTCACCATAACCCCTCCCTGAGAACAGCCCAGCCCAGCCCAGCCCAGCCCCCCCCCCCCACTGGGAAGAGCCCGGCCACAGCCTGTCCTCACCCCATGTGCAGATCCTGGGCACATGGCCCCCATGCCCTCCGGGAGCAGGGGCTGGGGTGAGTGAGTCCTGCCTATGCCGCACTCCCTCCCTCACTGCTGGGGCCTCAATCTTCCCTCCCACAAATCATTTTTTCTCCCTCCACCTCCACTTGGGGCAGTGCATGGAGCTTGGGGCCCAGAGCTGGAAGGCACAGCCACAGGGCCCTGGCAGGGGCAGGGGTGGAGCTGGCTTCCCGCCACTGTGGTTGGAAAATTTTTGTGGCTGGGGGCAGTGCCCATTAATACTGCCACTCTCCCCTGCTGCCCAATTCCCAAATCCCAAATTTCATAGTTTCATAGTAGCTAGGGTCAGGAGGGACCTGAACAGATCATCTAGCCTGACCCCTGCCACAGGCAGGAACAAATGCTGGGTTCACAAAACCCCAGACAGGTGATCATCCAGCCTCCTCTAGTTGTCTGCAGCTGGATCAGGGCTGGACCAAGCCTTCTCCCCCCTGCCCTGATTTAAGACTGAGTTAAGCCCCTTTTCCCCTCCAAGGCCAGGGTGGGGCCAGACTGCACCAGTCCCCTCCACAAGGCCAGATGGGCCCCAGAGCAATCTCCCCAGGAACTAAATCAGGACTACCGGCTGAGTCTGGCCCATGGACAGACTGGGCATTGCCCATCCAACCCACGGGAGGAAAAGGTTGAACACCCATGCTCTAAGTCAGCTGTTCTTACCCCTTTAAAGACACGAGGCTCCCCTCCAAAAATGCCAAATGTCTTCTGACTACAAGAAAATAATAGAGCAGTTCTTCTGTTGCAGAGAGCTCAGGGAGACCACAGCCAGGCAGAATGCATTGGTCACTAGGGATTCCTGCTTGCAGTCTCTGGGTTTATGTGGTGAATCATGTTCAGGGATCCTGGTTTTCTGTGATTAAAAAAAAAAAAATCCCCAGTTTTTGGATGCAAAGAAGTAACCCAAAACCCACATTTTTTCATGGTTAGAATGTTTAATTTTCATGACGGAAAAATCTCTTTTAATCTGAAAATTGGGGAATTTTTTTCAGAGAAAACCAGGATCCCTGATCATGTCATATGCCCCGCGGATGCTGCACAGTGTCAGCACCTTGAAAAGATCTCAGGGCACCCAGCTGAGAAACAGCTGAGTCAGAGGGCCCTGACCTTGGCTAGAAACCGGCTCTGGAGTTGTTACATATTTTCAAGCACTATGTTGCGGGTTGGCTGTTTCTATAGCTGGAGAGCCATTTTTATGGTGTGAACTTTACTTGGCAGGACTGGCCAGTCAATATTAATTGTGCCTTCATTGCGTAATATATGTGACACAGGCCAAAAAGAACTACCTTGAAGTGGTTTAACCCCCACAAGGAGGCAGCCTTGCCCCTCTTAACTCCCTATCTCCCAGGTGCTTGGGGCCTGCTCTGGGTTTCTCCCCTTCTGGGAAGAGGGCCCTGTGGCTGCCTGGGCAGAGTTGCCAGGTCTTAAATATTAAATTATCATACTGAAAGCTCAAAATGATCATATTTGCTGGAAAACTATCTTAGACTGAAAAAATATGCAAACAGGTATGCAAATAAGTCGTCTTATAATTTACTTTTACATTGCTCACTGCAACTCTGCAGTGAATGAGAGCTGGGTCTCATAGTGGAAGCATCTCTGTTTTGGGGCAGGCTGCCCTAAGCGAGCCCAAAAGGCAGTTAAGTCTCTGAGAGTGATTTGAGTCTTGCACGTACCGGACTAATTAGCTGCCTCGAAAATTATGGTAAGTTTCGGAATGCAAAAATCTAGAACTCTTGGTTCCAAAACGTTACCTTTTATTAGACCAAGATCATAACCAAGAGTTCTAGATTTCTGTATTTCTTTTTGTCTCAGACCGACGCGGCTACCACATACATCCCTGGTATACTTTGAACGCTTTTGCTATTTTTGACTGTACTTCCTCCAAGGGATGAAATTATCGTATAAATACGGTAATCATCGTACATCGGGCAACACTGCGCCGGCGTGGGGAGGGGCGCTACCCAGGGGCCGGGCCAGCCCCATCCCTGCACGTCTGCCCCTTGCCGTCACCGTCACGTAACCGGCACCCGGATCTCCGCCCCCCTGTGAGGGCTTTCGCTCCGGCCACGGCGGAAGTACCCGGCGCGTGACGGAAACCGGAAGCCGGAAGCCAAACAATCCCCGGAGCAGGGGCCGCGTCGAATCGGAACGTCCCCTCAGCGCCCGCCCGAGGCGGTGCCGCCGCTATGTCCGCCATGGAGAGTATCCTCTGGGCCGGGCCGGGCCGGGGGGCGGCTGCTGCGCCTGGCTGGGGAGGGCCGGGCTGCCTGGCCTCGTCTGTCTCGGAGCCGCGCCTTCCCGCCGTCAGCGGCCCCGCGGTGCCGGGCGACACAGGCTGTCCTGGCGGGGAGAGGGGAGGGCGGCGCTAGTGCGGCCTCTGGGGGAAAGCGCCTAAGGCCTTTGCCCTGCCCCGGTGCTTAGATACGGCGGGAGGCAGGGCGGCTAGAGGGCATCGCTTCCCCTGTCTGGTGCCCCCAGCAAGGAGTGAGGGTGTCGCCTCCTTGCAGAGTGGCTCGGCCTGTTGGGTGGGTGCTGCAGACTAGAAATGCCGGTTGTTTTGGAGTGGTGTGTGTGCAGGGAGGCGTTTGGGGTGGGGGAAGCATGCAAGCCTTGGGAGGCAATGACTGATGTCTAATGACTTGACGGGTCCAAGGTTGAGTGCGTCATTGAGGAAGTGCAAAGTGAAGTGGGTGTGTCTGGCTGTTATTCAGAGCAACTGATGTAAAAAGCTTACGTCGCTTCTTACATGGTGGCTCTGATGGCTGATCTGAGCTCAGTCTGAGTGGGCACCTGAAAGGGTAAAGATGCCCAGACTCTCTGTCCTTAGGCAGGAGCAATTTTAATTTCTCCTTCATTAACCGGATTGGCTGACTGGCAATGAGGTGGTGCTCTCATTTTAGAGCACAGAAGGAAACAAAGGGGGTGGGGAAAAGCAGCTATCTTAAAATATTAGGAGGAACAGAACATCAGGTCTGAGGCTGGTTGCCTCATTACGGTAAATTGTCTGCCTGCAGACTTGGCAGTGTCAGCAGAGCTGGGGGAATACTTCCTCACTTCTGGAATAATTTTAAGTATTTAGATTTAGGCAAGCACTTCAGTCTAATAATTTTCAAAATGAATTAATAGTTTTCTTTAAGGACCAGCAAAAGATTTTCAGAAAAATGGAATTCTGTTAATTATGATTTGCTGTATATGGTTAAGTAATGTGACAGATTTTTAATGCTTTCTGTTTGGCTTTTTCCTTAATTATCAGGAATATAAAATGTAGCTTTTCCTCATTTTGTTGGATAATCACTGAGACACCTAAGGATATTGATTTTTTTGAACCATAAGGTCTGCATTGATAGGTGCATTTAAAAAGCCTGTTTAAAAAGATGTCAACAAAAAACAAATTGTGGTTGGAGGGAGAGCAATAGGTGTAATAGACCTTGACGTCAGCAAAGCTTTTGGCACTGTTTCCCACAATAGTGTCATTACTAAGCTAAGAACATAGAGACTAAGTGAAAGTACTATAAATTGGATCCATGACTGGCTCATTGTCATCAGTGGCTCAGTGTCTGGTTGGGAGGAGGTATCAAGTGGGGGGTCCCTGGGGCTCCGTTCTGGTATGGTATTGTTTAACATCTCCACTAAAATTTGGATGTGTGCCCAGCAAATTTGTGGATGACACTAAGTTTGGTGGAGTTATAGATGCTAAGGCCAGGTTCCAGAATGACTTGGAGAAATTGGAGAAATGATCTGCAGTCAATCAGATAAAATTCAAAAAAGACAAATGTAAAGTCCTGCACTTGGGAATAATTACAAACAGAAGAATGATTGGGTAGGATGCAGTGCTCCAGATAAAGACCTGGGGGTTATAGTAGACCAGGGATGATAAACTTATCCGGCCCTGTGGGCTGCACGAGTGGTGCAGGCGCAGTCTGTGGGCCAGACCAGACCCACACACTGGCCCGTGCACCAGGTCCAGTGTGCAGGCTGACTCGGTATGGCTGCTGCATGCAGGCATGTCCTAGACTGGCCCTGTGTGCTGCATGCAGTGTGTGCTGGCTCCAGCCCTGTGTACTACATGCAGTATGGATCCAGACTGGCCCTGCACACTGGATCTTGCTCATTGGGCCAGTCTAAGGGCCTGATCCAGCCCAGCCCTGGATGCAGTGTGCAGAGCCAGTCTGGCGCAGCCACCACATGCAACGTGGACTGGCCCCATGCACCTTATGCAGTGCATGCACTGGCTTCAGCCCCTATGCCACATGCAGCTTGTGCCAGATGGTGTCTGCATGCCTTATGCAGTACATAGTGCCAGAAGCAGCTTGTACTGCATATGGTATGTGGGGCTGATTCAGGACCCAAAGGTAGCACTGTAGATGATAGGGCTGTGTGGGCCATGTCTTTTAACACTCCTGCAGTAAACTATACGTAGAATGTGAGTCAACAGTGTTCTTGAGGCAAAAAAAAGCCAGTGGCATATGAAACTGTATGAACAGGAATGTCTCTTATAAATCAAGGGAAGTGATTGTTCCATTCCATTCAGTACTGGTTAAGCCTCACTTGAAGTACTCTGTCTAGTTTTGGGCCAACAGTTCAAGGAAGATGTGGATGTATTGGAGAGGGTCCAGGGAAAGCAGCAAAAATGATTGACAGCCAGAGAAGTTGAAGACTAGGAGGAACTTTCTGACTATAAGGGTGGTCAAGCATTGGAACAGATTGCCTAGAGAAGTTGCGGAATCCCCACCCCTAAAAAATTTCCAGAGCAGGTTAGACAGGCACTTGACTGGGATAGTTTAGTCTGGGATGATCCTGCCTCGAGCAGGGAGCTGGACTTAGATGATCTCTTGACGTCCTTTCCAACCCTACTTTCCTATGAACATCTGAAACATTAATATGAAAAAAATAATACTTTTTTTGTGGAGAAACATTTTGGGCTGCCTTTACACATTAAAGATATAATCCTTTTTTAATCTTTGTTGTAAATTGGGTTTGTGATTTAATCTTTATTCCCATGATATTCAAATACATTGGATAAGTGTAGATACTTATGTACTTTGAATGAATTTGCAGGTTTCTTTATTGAGGTGTCCTGGTTTGTAATGTAACAAACTGATAATCTAATTGGATTTATTGTATTGAGCTAAAAAACCCTACAAGAACATATAAAAACAGTCTGCTTTGTAAGCAGGGATCCAGGTTTTCTGTTTCCCATGGAAAAATGGAAATAAACACAGATATTCCCTTTTAATTGATAAAAACATGGATTTTTTTTTCATTTTAATGGAGAAACACATGGTTTTTCCACTTCTGCAACAAGTTCTCTGCAAGCTGGCAGAGTTCCAGCCTGCAAAGGGCTGGGGGGAGCAGGAGAAGGGTGATCAAGCAGGGGGCACCATGTGCATGTATATGCACACGGATGCCAGGCAGCCTGGAGAGCAGCTCCTGTAGGGAAGTCTGGTCTGGGGGTATGGCAGGGCCCCTTTGATGCCTGCCACTTTAAGAGCAGAAAACAGGCAGCAGCCAGGTGCCTGATGAGGACAGTCATTTTGGATCCAGGGATATAAACTGGGCTGCAGTTTGCTGCAGGAGTAAGGAGGTAACATCAGGCTGAGAGGCTGCTGTGGCCATAGTCAGGAGGTAAGGTCAGGGGCTATGGGGTGGAGGTGACCCCTTGTCCTGGGTAAGATGTAAAAATACACCCTGCCAGGGAAGGGTGTTCTGGTGGGGCTCCTCGTGGCATGGGAGCCTCCAGGAAATGCCAGTTACCTGCCCAGTGAAAGGTGGGTTGGGGCACCATATAATCCCAGCCCTACATCACTAGTGATGTTCTAATGAGTAGGGGGAGCCCAGGCTCATTAAAGAGCCCTGAGGCAGAGCTCAGGCCAGAGGAGGGACATGGGGCAGCGCCCAGGTAGCACACTAAAGCCCAGGGGCACAAGTGAGACCCTGAATGAGAGAGGCGATGAGCACAGTGGCCCCATGAGTGGGTGAGTGAGGAGGCCCAGTGGGGCGTAGTGGCCCAGCAAGGGGCCTATAGTTGTAGAATCACTCAATCAACGCTCAGGTGAGGGTAGCAGGAGACGCCCAACAGCCTGCACCAGGGCTGACTGAGGCAAGGAGAGCTAAGCCTGAAGCTGAGTGAGGCCAGGTGGGATGCGTGTGGCCCCTAGAGAGGGCAATGTGAAAGAGGCTGGGTGAGAACCAGCAGAGTAAATAGGACCATGGTAAGAGTGGGGTGGCATGTGAGTGGCCCTCCGGAGCTGTAGAGAAGAGCTACAACTGTGTGCTCAGTTTTTCCAGCCATAGGCTGGAAAAGTAACACCAGAGTAACATCTGCAAGTCATGGCACCCGTGGAGGGGAAGTCAGAGCGGGTATTAGGCCCTTGTCAGCAGGGCGAATAATGGGTAGCCTCCTGCCTTAGTAACAACTCTCATATTTTTCCATCAAGGCATGGTAGGTGAGCAAAGCAGTAAGTTACCCCAGGAGCAGGGCGGCTGGCAGAGGCCTGACGAGGCCACCTTGTTACAGGGGGTAAGAGGATTGAGGTCCCCATAGGAAGAGAGGGAGAGAATTGGACAGGGCTGGGGCTGCTGCCCACCTGCGTGGGGCTTGGGACCCAGGCCCTGGGAAGGGAGCAGGATAGAGCTGCAGGTGGCTCATTCAGGACGTGTTGGGGTGGGGCTGGCTCCCTGCTCCTGTGTGCACTCCTGGGTGGCGGGTAGAGGGATACATGCCCCCTAGATTTGTGCACGGTGAGGTGGTGGGCTGCCCGCTGCAGGCTCAGGTCTCCCCAACCTACTGCCCTCTGGGGCTTCTGCAACCCAGTGGATTGGATCTGGCATGGCAGGACAGAGTGGGGCCAGGCAAGGAAGCCCCACACTGACCTGGTGAAGCTTCCCCTGCCTGCCCAGTAGCATCAGGGACACTGGTGCGCAGTTGTGCCCCTTGCTGCTGCCAGATGGACAGGGGCCGCCTCTCCAGGACAGCGCAGAGCTTGTGGCAGCAAGGAGCTTCCCCACCCAGCCCCACTCTGCCTTGCTGCACTGTATCCCACCTGCTGGGCTGCAGAGGCCCTGGGGGAAGTGCAGCAGGGTGGGGAGCTTAAGCTGGTAGCCTGTACCCGCCCACAGGGGAGGGTGACTTGGGCTCCATGCTCTGCTCCCTGCTCAGGCCACAGGAGCCACCATCTCCCATGGGTGGCAGCCAGGGCTTGGGTGCTGCTGTAGGGGGCAGGGACTGCAGACCCAGGTTCCTGGCCCTGTAGCCCTGGCAGCTGGTGGGCTCCCTCCGACAGGGTTGGTGAGGGGCAAGGTGTGGGGGAGTGAGGGATGGGGGGCACCAGCACAGCTGGGGGACTGCGGGTGGGGAGTGAGGGGCCTGGACCTGCATCCTGTTGAGTGAAGGGGGCAGGGGGAGCTCTGATTTTTTCCATGATAAAACCCAAAATCTAATACTAAAATATATAGGTATTTAGAATTTATTTTATTATAGTGATTGAGGCACTGGTAATCTTCCAAATTACTTTAAAGTTGTAAATATATCAATAAAACATTTGTGTTCAGTTACACACACACACACACACATATATTTCATTTTAATCATAGATTTTGTGGGTTTTATCAAAAAATTTGTGGGTTTTTTAATCAGAGAAGACCAGGATCCCTCTTTATAAGCCTCTTTGACATCAGCCCTAGTTTATGTAAACCCACAGAGAGATGGTCAAGTCAAAATCTAGCAAAACTTGTACTTGTTTTTCTAATATGGAATTAAAACGAAATCGTATGAAACCAAAATTTGTATTGATGAGGATAGGGAGATCCTAGGTTATAAGGACAAAAATGCCTAAAATTCTAGGAGATTTGTACACACATCTGGTGTTCCAGAGTTAAATTTTAGATGATTATTTTGTAGGAACCCATGGTTTGACTGTATAAAAAAAAACAATGGGTCAGATTAGATTGTCATACTGGTCTGTTCTGGCCTTAATTCTGTAAAGGCTAAACATGAGGGAAGCAGTTATTCAGGTTATTTAAAGGAGCTAAACAATTGACAGCAGATTGTATCTTGCTGTGAAGTTGTTACCATACTGCCAGCTTACGTCACATATTCAGATAAATATGGTTAACTACTGCTAGATAGGCTACTGCTTCCTACATTTTATGGGCAGTGAACAGACAGACTGATTTCCTCAAGGATATACAGAACATTTAAAGCAGAAGAGCAAGCTGAGCCCAGAGAACCTAATTCCCACACCAGTTCTATAATCACAAGATCATCCTTTTACTTGCCTATGTATCCCTGCAAGTCATTGATAAAAACCAATTAGTGTGTGTATGGCGCATTGTTCACTGGTCTTCCCAAGACACCTGGATTGGCACAATATGTATTTCTTAGGACTGTGGGCATTTGTGGCAGGGTACTGTTTGTGCCCGCCACTTTAAGGGCCTGGAGCTAGCAGCTGTCAGGTGCCTGATGAGGGCAGCCATTTTGACTCTGGGGCTGCCTGTATAAACAGGGCAGTTCTGCTGCTGGAGGCTGGAGGGCTGCTGGTATCATCTGGAGGTAAGGGAGGAGATGTAGGGGATGGTCAGGAGGCTCTTGGTCCTGGGCATGACCTAAAACTGCACCCTGCCAGGAGTGGGTGGCCTGGTGGGGCTCTCAGTGGCGCGGGAGCCCCCAGGAAATACCAAGCCAGTTACCACCCCGGTGAAAGGTGGGTTGGGGCACCTTGACCCCTAGCTCCCACAACCAAGTGGATTCCCCTTTGTAGGGTCTGGAGGGTAGACCCCCAGAGAAAGAGAGTGAGGCCATAGACTCAGGCCTGCCTGGACTTCTCCTGACTGGTCAATGCTGGGGCCAGGACCAGAAGGGTCAAAGGGCCAGGAGCCCACCGCGAGAGACACCCAAGAGCTGAGGGCCTGGGGTTCTGACTGGCCTGGAGTTGGGCCAGGGCTAGTGAGCCAAAGGTCCCGGGGGGACCGCACCCAGAAGGGGAAGCGGTTCAGGGAGCTACGCTGCCCAGGATGAAGGTGGAATAGGCTGCTGGAGGAGAGGAATCTAGGAGGGGTTCAACAGTAGGATTCTGGGGCCCAGTGAGGGGCTGGTGATTGTGAGAACATCTCGATGTCATCAGTGAGGGTTGGGCTGCGGTGTAGGGAAGGAAGGGAGTCGCAGATAGTGCCCCCTGGCATCGGAGCAGGAAATGGGGAGCCCCCTGCTTAATTACATCATTGATTAATTCCAACAAGGGGTGGTGGGTGGTTAACCCAGAAACAGGTGGGTGGGCTACAGTGAGATTGGCCCTGAGGAGGCCCCCTGTTACAGCATTCCACAACTGAACTTTTGAATTGAAGTTGTTCTAAATTATTACTCAAATGGTGGTTTTATGCACAAGCTACAGTGTGGAATTTACTGTAGTAGGTTTTTTGTTTTTTTTCCTAATCATTTGTGTGGCTTTCTGTTTATTACAGCAATATGGCTTTTAAAAAATACGTTTAAAAAAGCTTAGTATTCTGTACTTCACTGATACAAGGACCTCTTCTAAAATTTGAGTTTTCTCCTTTAAAAAGTGCATTTTGGTGTTTACCCCTCTTTCTGGTATAATGTATTTTATGTAGTGTTAAAAATTTATGTAGAGTGTTTTCTAATACAAATTTTTGATTGTACAATTTGAACATTTTAGAATATAATTTTTGGATTTATTTTCACCATTAGCTTGAGTTTAGTACATGTGCAGTGGTTTAACTGGAGTGAGTGACTGCACTGTGAAAACACATCAGGCAGTGATTGGATTAGCAGCTGAGTTGTTGCAATTTGAGCTGCTGCATAACCCCTGTGTTACTAGTTGAGTGCCAGCAGTGCTCAAGCATCAGCCCACCCACTCTCTCAGGCCAGCTAGCTCGAGCTTGAAATACCACCACTTACCTCCTGTTAAAGACTTGTATAGGGACAGATATTGGGTTAGGGGTAAAACTAGAGTTAAAGCTTTAAGCCAACAAAGATGAGCCCTTAAAAATACCAGCTATATGTTTTGGAAAAATATTTCAGCATTGTAAAGGTGACTGTTTGGAAGAGGCTTAATATGCATAATCAAAATATTCAGTTGTATAGCAGAAGACTTCTTGAGGTCACAGTAAATAGTTTTTCTGTAATGGCAGGAATATGGCCATGATCTTAAGGCCTTGTACCCCAAATTTACACTCCTAGTAAAAATGAGAAATCAAATGTTTATCATTTACCTTAATGGAATAGTATTGCATTGGTATACCATCTGTTTATTAATGTAAACACTTACATATCATTGGCCACTGTCCCAAATTACAGGTGGATATAAATTGAGGTGAAAGAATTATATAGAAGTTATTCCTAAAATTGCAGCAAATAATCCATTGTCTCTTGAAAAGGAAAATATCTGTATAAATATTTTTTTTACTCATGTGTAATAGAGTTAATCGCTTTCCTAAAGGACTAAACTCTGTCTTGTAATTACTTGGTGATCCATATTTTCCAGTCTTGTAATTTTATTATGTCTGAATAAAAATCATTCTGGTTATCAGAAACATTGCTAAGTAAATACTGTTCTAATTATTTTTAAATGAGGGTGATGTAAAATGCTTTGAGATCTAGTGATAAGTACTTCATGAGAGCTAGGTATTTGATTAGCAGAGTTTAAGAATAATGCTATTTCATTAAATAATTTGTGGCAAAATGTACATGTCATCTGATTTATAACACCTTGTCATCTCATTTACCATATATTTTACCACATATAATAAATAAGATTTCTCTTCTACCTCTTCCTGTTCCTGATGGAAGAGGGTATATGATGAATCCCTAATCTTACAGGTACATTTTTATTCCAATTTGCCATAACTTGAACCTGTACATTCTGTTTATCTGTGTTGGTTCATGTCACCATAATCATTATTTGGGCCAGAGAGACCATGTACTTAGGATGGATTTTAAAATGAAAACTCTGTACATGCATGCATACTGGAGTTGGAATTTTCAGAATCTGCTCCTGTTGAGTTTGGCAGTGATTCTCTATTTAAGCTAAGCAATTTTGTTGTTGGCTTTTTAATACCAAGCATCATATGAATTCTAGAGATCAGTGTTCTTTACTCATTTTAACTAATCTGAAGTTAGTTGTGTCTTTTTCTAAATTAAGCCATTTTGTGCTCTGAGTTTGTTTCAGAAAACATTTGTCTAAAACATGGTTTTAACCTGGAGCTCAGAAAATGACTTGCACTACTTAAAGATTGAAATGTAGTAAACTAGCTGAGATGCTTTGGTGTGCAAATGAAAGATGCAGCCCTAACAATATTACAATTTATAGAATGTTTTATAAAGAAAATACAAATGTATAGTGGGATACCAAATCCAGCAAGGAAACGTGTTAATTTTTTAAACATTGAGCATTTTGATGATCCTTAACTTGCACTGTAGAACACCTCTTTAACCTGAAGTTTGCTGCAAAAGAACTTAGCAGGAATTCAAAAAAGTGTGACAAAGAAGAAAAGGCTGAAAAGGCTAAAATAAAGAAGGTTAGTAATGAAGTTTTTTACAATTTTTTGCTAGGAAAATATTTCATACTAGCCTGGCAAACTCACCCTGGGATCTGAAATTCAAGCTGGGTTCCTTCTGAGCAATCTGCCATAAGATTTGATGTTGACAGTTTCTGAGCACCTTCTGTGCAGAATACCATATTTACCTGAACCCAAAGCAACTTTTAATTTAAGATGACCCCCTAGTAATTAGTTTCTATACATGAAGAATTATATGTTTGTTTAGAATTTTCCATGTATAGAATCTAAGAACCGGGCGGGGGAGTGCATCTTAAATTCATCCCTTTTACTGCTGTAACAAGTGGCAGCAGGGGATTCAAGTGACCTGCCCCCTGGCACTTTGATCTTCCTTCTCTCCACCATTGGTGCCTATGCCCTCCTTCCCCTGTTCCATCACATCTTCCACACCTTGTCCCCTGCCGTTTTCCCTGGTGCCTTGCCCTCCTGCCACTTTCCCCTCCCTGCTAGTGCCTGCCAGCCACTTGCCCTGCCCGTCCCCATGTGATGGCTCCAGCTCTTGCAGCTCGGGGTAAGCAACAGCATGGGCACAGGGCAGAGGCTGTGCGAGCCAAGTGGTGGATAGCCTTGTACTTAAATCAAAGATGAGCGGCTTTTTTCTTCCCATGTTGAAAATGAAAAAAAAACCTCATCTTGGAGTTGAGTAAATATAGTTAAGTATCAGTTGAGAAGCCAAGTGAACTTCATGGAGTCTCAGACCTTGTGGGGTGGGGGAGCTCTCTTTTAATATGCTTTTCGGTAAATTAGAAATATTAAAAACATGTAAGTTTATTTAAGAGCTTTATTTAGGGTTTTTAAAATAATGAGATTGGTATTTCTGGATAAAAGCGTGGTCAGTGTTGGGTCATTCACATGGAAAAGTCTCTCTGAAGGGGAAGGTCTTACAGTGTTTGCTAAAATTTGTGGCTCCTCAGTACTAGTTTTTGCTTTTTCAGTGTGGGTCATAGTGGATATCGTTGACTATAGAATTTTGTCATCCATTATGAAAAATCCCATCAACAGGAACAAGGAGTGGTGGTCTCAAGATGCAGCAAAGAAAGTTTAAGTTAGGTATTTGGAAAAACTGTCTCACTAGGAGGGGTAGTAAAGCACTGAAACAGATTACCCAGAGAGGCTGTGGAATCTCCATCCTTGTAGCTGGGTCTTAAAAACCTCCACAAAACCTTGGCTGGAATGGTCTACTTTGAGCAAGGGGTTGGACTAGATGAACTCCTGAGGTCTCTTACAAAATTAATTTTCTATGATTCTGTCCTAACTGATGTGTTAGAAGGAATAGCACTGTTTTGCAAGGCTTAATACCACTGGGTTGTTAATGAAGATTAGCAATAGTTGAAATGTTTTAGTTTTTAGCAATAGTTGAAATGCTTTAGTTTGTTTAAACAGGCAATCCAAAAGGGTAATACGGAAGTTGCAAGAATACATGCAGAAAATGCAATCCGACAGAAGAATCAATCAATCAACTTCTTGCGCATGAGTGCCAGAGTAGATGCAGTAGCAGCAAGAGTACAAACTGCAGTAACAATGGGCAAGGTAAGCATGTTTTTAAATATAAACACTAAAGTAAACAAGGCCCTTACTTGTCAGTAGCCTTCCCTAATTCAGTATTTTACAGATGAAGTCCCAGGCTCATTATGAATACTTGGCATGAAGTTCCACAGTAAAGCAAATGATGTAAAAAGCTGTAAGTTGTCAGGATTGCAGTGAATGTTTAGCCATCATGTTTGTGGCATCGCTGACTTAACATGCTTCTTTTAGTACCGTTATGATACAGCATCTCCCGTAGATGCAGTTAGATTTGTTAGTCTAGTTGGATGGAAGGCAGGGTACATTTGAACCTTGTAAACTAAATCAGATATGTTCCTATGTGACAACCAACATATTGCATGGTTCATTTACTTTAATCTAGTGTTCTCTATTGCACAAGATTCTTTTAAATATATTGTTCCCTTCCCCTTCCAAAATTAGGGTTGGCAAGCCAGTCAATTGACCTGTCAATTGACTATTTTTTGGACCAGTCAAAGATGATAGCAACTTTACAATCTCTTCTCCCCCCCCCCCAATTAAAAATAAAACCTTACTTTTTTGTGGGTTTTAACATTAAATATGACTTTTAAATTATTTTTTACACATTTCTTAATGGAAATTTTGTGCTTTTTCTGTATATTATTTGCATCTGTAGGCAATTTCTTACAGTTTTTTACCAATATTTGATTGGTCAGTTGACTAAACTTTGACTTAGATGCATAATGGCATGTCCTGGGCGTTTCTGATGCCAAAAGGTATTGAGAAGGTGTTTCTAGTTTGATTCAAAAAAATAGAAAAACAGTTAACAGAAAAGTAAATAAATTATATGGCTTGTATGGCCCTGGCTTACAGTGACCTGCCAAATGACTAAAAAGACTCTTCAGAATACTTCGGCAAACTTATTACTGTAGTTTGTTATTAGAACTAACTTTGGTCTGTACTTGGAAGAAAGACCTCCAAAAGAATCAGAAGATTGAGGAACTTGATTAATAAGAGTCCTTCTCAGCACTAAATTGCTGTCCTCCAGTGTGTTACAAAACTAGACTCTCTTAAAGTAGAGAAATGTTGTCAATAAAGATGAAATAGTGTAGAGGAGCAACATTACTTTTGGTGTACATCATAGAAAAACATTTTAGAAATGCCCAAGATAAACATTCCGTTAAACCTAAGTTCCCCAGGCATTTTCTGTCATACCATTTGTTTGTTCTTGCCACTGTGCCATGTTCCTGTGCACTGTAAAATTCTCCAGATGTGATTATACTTCAGGAGTAGTTTTCAAGAATTTCAAGCTTGTACTCATTATGCTTATGAATAAAGGCTGTTATAAGAACACAGGATTAATAATCCAAAGGCCTGAAAAGTTGCATTAAAATTACTTTTCTAAAACTTGTTGGGTTTCTTTGTAAACTGGTGTTTTTGGTGCACCCATAAAATAACAGCTGCATGCATAATTTTAATTTTTAGTTGTATCATTTCAGTCCAGAGCATTTATTTAAATTTAGAAAGAGAGCTTCTAAAAAGCAGAAATTAACCCCCCAAAATGATAAAGTTGTGCAACGGCATCAACTGTGGTGCTGTAGAAGTTCTTAAGTGGAAGGATTCAAGCATAACTATCGATTACTTGCATTTTATGAATGTTGTAATATGTTTGACTTTCCTTTTTAGGTAACAAAGTCCATGGCAGGTGTAGTTAAATCTATGGATGCCACACTGAAGAGCATGAACCTGGAAAAGGTAAACAAATTGAACCATTCAGGATTGAAATAAATTCTCAGGTTGGTCTGTACTGTTGCTCTGACAGCACTATTTATCTGCAGATATCTGCCTTAATGGACAAATTTGAGCACCAGTTTGAAACATTAGATGTTCAGACGCAACAGATGGAAGATACAATGAGCAACACTACTACACTAACAACGCCACAAGTAAGAATAACTGATTTCTCAGCAAATATTGCCTGCAACTAAATTGTACATAAGTGCTTTCATTTTAACATTCATACTTACTGCCTTTAAGTCTCCAAGAGGAGTTGGCACATTTTCCTTTTTTTGATCTGGTATCTTTTTGTTTCCTTTGTGAACAAAATATTTAAGCTGCTACTTCCCCCAAATAAAATTGGAACATTACAAATACCATATCACAATATGATTGCACTCCTGTGCAAAATGAAGTTTATTTTCTACCTAAGAGGATTTTTACAATCTTTGCTTTCTCCTCTGCCTAAAGAAGGGCGTGTGCACCCAAAAGCTTGTATAAAAATTTTTTTGGCTATTTTTTAGTCTGTCTAATGCCGGGTATCTCCTCTGAACCAAGAGGTTTTTTAGAGTTTTGTATGTCTGTCTCAGACCAACACAACTGCAAAATAGATCCCTGTTGTCATGATACATGCTTGCAATACTTCAGTTTTAGTTCTATGATTGTAGGCCTTCCCTTGGCCTATACAGAATTTTGACTAGTTTTCTAAGCCTTCTTCATTAGAATACATTTCACCATTAGACCTCATATACAGGTTTCCCTCGCTTTATGTGGGTTCTATATGTGTGAATTCACTCTTATGCCGATGACCCTTTTTATACAAAAATTTGTTATGCAAGGTAAATTCACTTTTATGCGATTGGTGTGGTGGAAGCTTGCAGTCAGCTGCTTTGTGCAGTGCATTGTGGGAGTGACATTCACCAAAATATAGTCTTCTTGTGGATCTGCTCCTCGGTTATTGTCTGCGACGTGTTTCTGTAGTTGCCATCCCCATTATGGCTTCTAAGTGTCCCACTAGCTTATCTCCTACCCTTCTCGCTGGTCCATCAGTGAAACCTTCACCACCCTCTCTTCACACCAACTAAACATTCACCACCACCCTGTGCTTGTGTGTACTGTCTGCTGCTGGTGAGTACAAAAATTGTCTTGTAAAAGTAGCAGAAATGGGTCTGGGAGTCAGTACAGTCAAGGTCTTGGAACATATCCCTATTTGTTACATTGTAAAGTCGGTTCCCTTTATGTGAATTCAAGTTATGCACCATTTTCCAGGAATGCATGTAAAGCATAAAGTGACAAACCTGTACGTTGAAATAATTATTAGTATTTTGCTTACATTCTGAAGTTAAGGTAACAATTAGTTGCTGTCAAACACAAAGGTTATATGGCCATTTGTGGTTAGACAGTCACCAGTAAGAAGATTTGGTTGTTGATAATGTAATTCAAAAGCAAACTGTATCTTCTAAGAAAGATATAGTTATAACTGAATAAAATTGAGGGTGGTTCTCTTCTAAGGGAGGGAAGGTGTTCAGAACCATGGCAGTAATAGTTAAATGCTGACTATTGGTTATACTCATATACTTGTGCAAGTTAAGTGTTTTGTGTGTTGGAAATACTGCAGTTGAGTAATTGAAGTTCAAGAGAATTTGAATAGTATAGCATGAGATGCTGTGTATTCTGAATTCATGTAGCTCCTCCTGGTGGTGAAATACAAAAATGTTCAAAATTTGCCTACCTTTCCCTCTAAAACAGCTTTATTAAGGTTAACAGTAGTAATAACAGCAGACTCATTCAGTTTTGATTCCTATTCTAGAACCAAGTGGATATGCTTCTACAGGAAATGGCAGATGAAGCGGGGTGAGTTAAATTCTTAAAGAGTGAATATTTGCAACTAAAGACAATTGCATCTGATCTTGGCATTTTAATTTTGAATACAACTAATGTTTGCAGTAAGACTATATAAATCAAACCGATTTTAAAGGGCACTGTACAGAACTAGATCATGCTGGCTGGCTGCATTAAATGCATTTGGATTGCATGTCAAGTATGTGCAAGGACATGCGCACACGCTTGCTGCATTAATAAAGCATGAGTTAACAGTACTTCTCTGTTACTCTGCTGATGTGAATACACTGCCCCACAAACAAATAATAAATTAAAAACCCTGTGTTTGACTGTACTTTTCAGAAAGAAGCAGACTGCTTCTGCTACTGGGGCAAGACAACTACTTTTGACAAGTCCTGTATTAAAACTTTTTGTAGATTTTTCTTTTCATACCTGTTTTATCACTGGTCTAATCCCAACTATCTGAAAGTATCAGTTACTAATCTTTATTATGACCGATGCATTGTTCTCCTGATGATGGTCCTAATTTCCTGAGGAAGATTGCCTAATATATTGGAGCATAATTTTTTTTTGTGGGGGGGTAGAGGAGGGGTTACTATGGTGGTTCTCCAATGTGTAGGATACCTAAATCATGAACCATTTGTCACTTTTAAATTGCATCCTGTGTAACTTAATAATATATGTAATCATTTTCTTTTCTATTTTCAACTAGTCTTGATCTGAACATGGAACTCCCTCAGGGGCAGACAGGTTCTGTTGGCACAAGCGTGGCTTCAGCAGAACAGGTAAATGTTGCTTTTTGGTATCTTCTGTATCAGTGTGATGCAGGAGTACTGCCTCATTTTGATATTTCTTCACTTAACACATTTCATGTGTTCTGACAAAGCAGTATTCTTGCAGGCATGAGATTTTTTTTTAGTGTTAAGTCTATCAGTTTTGCTTTTTAACTCAGACTGTTCAGTAAGACTCTGTGTTCCATGCCCCTCCACCTTTCCAAGTGATTAATGGATGTTCTTTGACCTACTTAGTTAATGCAAGTTAGCTTCTGCAGATACAAAGGTGATGGGTTTCTTAACTTGGGTCTAGTGCGGATGGTGCACAGTGATGCTCAGTTATAATGGACTTCAGTTTAAGCTAGTCTTCCAGAAATACAAATCCTTATCTCACTCTGTCTTGAATGTTAGTTCTTATAGTGTTCATGGGGTGAATTTATGCAATTCTTTGCAAGCATCTGTTTAAAGCAAATACATAGTGAATTCAATTTTATTTTGGTTTCTGCAGGATGAGTTATCGCAGAGACTGGCCCGCCTACGTGATCAAGTTTAAGTTAAAGAACAAAAGTTGCGGTTCTCTGTACATTCTGTCTGTAACAACCCATCACTACAATAGGAACATTTCATGCAGTCTGTCCTGGATGTTTAAATATTTGTACTATAATATAGTTCACTTCTGGCTTGCTCTCCTTTCTAAAATACATTAAGTAATTCAGAAGTATCATACTACTTAATGTGTTCTTTGTACAGTACATTTTGAAGTTGGGAGTATATTTTTGCAAATTCTTTTCACCAAAATGTTGAAATTCTAAGTCAGCTAATTTTGGCTTGTTCTTGTTGAAACAGACGGCCATTAATATGTAATATTTTAATTATGGGGTGGATTTTTTTAAATTCTGAAGAATACAGTTGGAGAATCTTGTGTGCACTTCAGATGATGGTTGCAGTTCACTTCCTTACACAGCAAAAGTCATGGAACACAGATGGACAGTGTTGTCTGTGTCTTAAAATGCCTATTAAAACAGATTGTTAGACTTGAGTACATTTTTGGTGTGCTAAAAATGCAGTAATTGTGCTACAGCTTAATGATCTCCGTTCAAAAACTGGCTACCAAAAGTGGTCTTCAGATAAATCTGAATTTGTATGGCATGATCGCTCCAGTTGAGGAGAAATAAAATATATTTTTATTTTAAACATCTCTTGATCCCATTAGATATTGTAGCCATTTACTTTTCTGGAGTACCTTCTGGAGAAGAAGTTACAATATTCAGGTTTCATCTTGCTCTCTTCCTCCAGCCTCCTGTGGGCTGGGTTACAACATGGCCTTCAAGCTAAGACATTCACATGCTCACTCCTTCCACGGTGGAACTCTTAACAGTCTTTCTTGCTTTGGGATATCGTTCAGCAGTCTCTTTCCCCTTCAGAGGTTGATAGGGAAATAAAGGCCCATCAACACATGGGTTTTAACTGAGGCCCTTACATTAAGTAACCAAAGCCAGCATTTCCTCCACCCCTTGCTGCTTCCTACCTCAAGCCTTCCTTAAGACCCTGTCTCTCTCTCTCAAAGGCCTCTTTGTGTTGCTGCATTTGCCACCTAAGCCTTCTAGGCTATAAACTCTCTTCCCCAAGTTTACAGGCCCTAGAGCCCTCTCCCCATCAGATGCACTCTGTATGGAAACAACCTACCTGCACTGAATTGTTGGCCTGCCTTTCTATTAAATCCAGTCCCCATTCCCCTACCTGAAATAGGGGCACAGGATAGGTTCCTGATTTTAATCTGATTTGAACAGGATGGGTCAGTCCCAATCCTTGATATTAAAGGGGCATACTGACCTACTGTTTCTCGCTCTCAGTGAGCAAAGTGACTATATATTATATTGAATAAATGCCTGTTGTTCTTGAACTTTCTTCAATATGTTTTGCAAAAACAAGGGTTGTATTCTGCACATACATTAATATAGTTTGTAATGTTTTTGTTTAGATGAAATAGGGTAAGCTGTCCATACCTGCACTTATATTTGCTTTAAATAGAGTACTACCGTTGTCGTCATCACATTTCTGAGGTTTCCATGCAGTTTTTATTTAAGGAAATATTTATGGAAATGTGTAGTCAAAGCTACTTGTGACATCCTCTGATAAACAATGCATCAAAACCCTTCTACTTTAAATTAAAAATCTCTGCACTTTGGTTCCTAATTATAATATTGCCTCTTGTTATAGTGCCACATCTTCACTGCAGCAGAGAGAGTGAATTTTTTTTAAATTTTTTGATAGTTTTTAGCTAACATGTTTCAGCTCTCTCACAGCTGTGGTATTTCTCATGCAGAAGGAATATTTGGAGAAAACTGCCATAATCCTGACTTTGCTGTAAATATTTAATAAATAAAAAAACATACTGACTCTCTAATCAGTTAGTGAACGTGTTTGATTAACGAAAGCATTCCAGGTAGGTTTAACATTCAGTGTTCCAACATGATGTTCTTTACTCTCAATGATTATATTTCAGTGAATACTGTACATCTCAAAGCATGTTATACAATAACCTGCTGTAAGTCCGAACCAACAGCCTCAGATCTGCACTGATGGAAGAGGTTGCTGACTGAGGTAGTTGGACGCATGCTATTTTCTTACTCATGTTAAGAGCCCTCTAGGATATGGACAAATACATATGTAAAAGTGTTAAAAAGGGAGAAGGAACTGCTGCATCAGAATGTGCAGCAACTGTTCAACTTATCTGTACATCATCCTGTAGCCATAAGTGAGCTAAGTTGCCTCAGCTTTGGCTTTGGATAAAGCAGGATTGAAGTGGAAGCAATTTTGTTACACTTGAAACTACAGGCTCATACACGCATAACAATTCAAATCTTAATAGCTGCTATAGATTCCCCTCCTTTTAAATCCACTGAAAGTAGGTGTTTGTCCATATTCCTAGTTACCCAAGTATAGTGAATGGATTATTTCATAAAGTCATATGAATTGCCTTCTACACTTCAAGTGTTTTACCCATCTAATGACTTCTGATTTATTTTGTTTTTGATAAAGCATTAATATATTGCAAATCTAAATTGTGAACACCTTTTTAAATACTGCAGTTGGGGAAAAATATTTTTAATTTCAATTAATTTTTAATATTGATTGTTACTACTTAATTTTAAAACAGCTTGTTTTTAGATATCGTCAAGCCAGACTGAATGAGGAGCGACACTTGCATTTCTAGTATTGTATGCAGTTCTGTTAAACATGTAAACATCTATCTTTTTGTATGGCATAGCAAGTAAAAAGAATTGGGTGGATGGACAACTGGAATATAGACTTCTATCTCCCAGCTCTGTTGTGATGAAACACCATTATTTGGCTGTTCAGGGTTTTGTTTTCCCCATATGTAAAATGAGTTCAGTTCTTTTAATTGCACCTTCCATATACTTAGCACTGATTAGAGTGTTAAGTTTTTAATGGGCAGCCTCCAAACAGGCAAGGATTGAGTACATAGTAGTCCCTTCAGAAAAAGGTTTCTGGCCAGACATAAGTGCTTTTATGCAGCAACCTGTAGTCTATCCACTACCAAGCTGAATGGAGGGTGTAAGTTTCTGAAGCTGTTGGGTTTTTTTTGTTTTTTTCCCCCTCCAGATTTTATCACCGTGAACTTCATATGAGGAAATGGAAGATGCATGGGTTTTCTGAGTTGTATCTGTAATATACCCCCTTTTACTAATTTCTTGCCAAATAAGATCACTTAACTGTGAAATGGGTTGAAGGCAGACTGTCAGTAGCTGTCTGGTCGCTGATTCTAGGCCTATCCTGTGACTAATTATTTTACTAACAAATATGTCCTGAAGCTATTGTAAAACTTTGGGCAGAAAAAAGTTTACAGTGCATATAAAAATGATCCATCAGACTTTGCTGTCTACTTCTCATTGTTTCCCTTTAAAGCTGCACTGGTAATAAATACAACTATCTTTGAATGTATCTTGGTGCCCACAGGTGCATGATACAAAATGTTTTAGGAAAGATGAGAGACTAAGGGCTAAACCAATAACTTAAGGGTGACTCTTATCCATTATTTAATCTGACACTTAGCCCTTCAAGGATGGGTTTGAATCACTGGTATTAGCCAGCTCTCCAACCTGCTGTGTCTGAGCAATGTTATTTTATTATTAAATCCCTTTAGTCTTCTGCTGCTTTAAAATGTTTCCTGGCTGCCTGGCCCTCCTGAAGACAGCCAGGAGGCAAGCAGTAATCCTCTGAAACGTTTAACTTTGCTATTTTAGCATGTGGTATTTTGCCTCATGATGTTTTGCTTTCTGGTTCTCTTCAGAAATGGATGAAGGGCAGAAACAGGGCTTGCTTAGTGAGATGGGAAGTCCCAAGAGGAAGATTCAGAAAAACAGGGTTGTGTGCCCACTCTGCCTAAACTAGCCACGAGGGCCTCCAGAAGGGCGATTGAGAGAGCCTGGGGAGCCATGTAGAGCTAGCCAATAAGAAACCTTAGCAAAGGGATCTTTGCAGTGCAATATAAAGGTGCTGATTAGATTTAGGTATCTATTTGGTGTTGTGGCTGCTGGAGTGGGCATATTCTGGATTGCTGTTTGCAAGTTAGGATATGTGTGCACATATCCCTGGTGTGTTCGTAGGGCATGCCAGAAACCCATTGTGAACTTACCTTTAGGTGCTTAAACTCCACCCAGGATATGTTAACTAGTTTACCAATCTCATAAATTTTGGGGGAGTAAGGGAAGTAAGAGGAATACTAATGGGATAACATTTTTAGATGTGTAGATTAAGACTTTTATATTTAATTGTATTTACGCTCTTAAAAAGAAATAAACTCATCCATCCCATTGAGTTTCACATCCATGTTAAATGAAAAAAGGTTTTAGGTAATTTGGCTGAAATATGCTTTTTTTTCTTTTCCCCTCAAAAATGTAAGAACATATACACTGCATTATGTTCAGAACTTTCTCATAAGACTAAGGAGATCATGTGCTGTTGATTTCTCTTTTGTATTAAACAATTGATGTGCGTCTCCAGGAGTATAGCTTTTATTTTAGCTCTCTTTGGTTGTTGCTTATGCACCAGCAGAGGGAGCTTAAGGCTTTGTTTTTTGCATGGGTCCTACACAAATGATTTTTTAAAATAAAATAAAAAAATCCAAGCAAAAGACCAGTGCAGTGCAGTGCATGGCTTACCATCTTATGCTGTTTGTGGATTCTGGGACCTAAATCCTTGGTAGTATCAAGGGTAAATCATTTCCATTTTTCAGTGTTCTGATGCTTTCATTAAGCACCACAAAATAATACAAAATGCATGCTGAAAATATGCTGCATAATGCTTTAAATAATGTGCATTCATGTGTTCCTATTTTATCCAAAACGCATTTTCCTTAGTTATGAACATATTAAAATAACAAGGGTGGTTAATTTGTGCTTCATGTCTATACACACGTTTAAAAATGCTTCATCTGTGATTAGGTGAAACTTTCCTAAGCATCTCCTACTTGGGTATTTTGGTTGCCTTGTGAGCATTCTTTTATCTTGTGACATGATTACTTTCATCTAATCAGTGTTTCACATGCCAGGAAGCAAGTCCTTGTTTATGACTCAAGTAATATCCTGATAAACATCAATGCCTCCTGGACTGAAAGTGTTTCCTATGTTAATTATTTTGTTTTAGAGCAAGTTAGAAATGGAACATACCAATTTACCCAGACTTAAGGATCCTCTGAGTTGACACCCTGCATTTGTTTTTTCTAGTGTTGCCATTTCTTACATGCAAATGTTTAATTTGAAATCCATGGAGGGTACTACCCAGTACAGTTTTTGGTCAACCAGTGTTTTTTCAATAAAACCACAAAAAGGGTCAATGGCCTTACTTGTATCGGAAGCAGCTCTCTTCATTACCATTCAAATAAAGGAAAAAGCCTATCTGAACAATCTGCAACTAATTTCGAGTGCCAGTTGAGCCCCTTTGACTTGGAGGAAGATGCAGTAACTGAATCTAACAGGCTTTAGCTTGACCTTTACTGCTCTGTATTAAGAAAGTCATGCTGAATCAGCAATGATGTACAGTTAAAGATAGGCAGTCAATTGGACTTAAATTCCTATGCGTCTCCAGTACTTTAGTAAAAATATTAGGTAACATTTCCAAAAGTGCTGGGTTTATTTTTATGGTTGGGATCATTCTTTTCTGATGAAGAGCGTGGGGTCAGTCCATGTAGAAGCTTATGCATTAGATCAAAGTATTTTCTGATTTTAACTAAAAATAATAATAAATGGGCTTCTGTTTGGAGGCCTAGTTGTATATTGGTAAGGATACTCTAAAACTTAACTATTTTATGTAAATAATCATTTTATAGAATCCTAAAGCAAATTCAAGCTGCATAAAGGAACTGCTAGGTTCATAATTCTTGACTGGATATCAATGGTCACCACTACTTCGTTTAAAATGTTTGTTCTTTAAAATCAATTTGTATTAGGACAAATTTGTATTGTGATATTAATAAATCACTCAAATGAACGTCCTTTCCAAAGTTTACCTCACAGGGTTTTTTTTTTTAATTTTTTTTTAAAGTTGGTTTTGTTTAAAAAGCGTAGGGTTGAGAATGGAGTAGTCTGTCTAGGTATTTGCTTGGCCCTTATCTGCCAAATGTCATAGTTATGGAATGTCTCATCTATTGCTGCAGGACAGGTTAGCTGGGGAATGATTAAGTTCTGTTACTACAATCAGTGATGTCCTACAAATCACAAATCATCAATATGGTCCCAAGAGTTTATTTGAGGCTCATGGGGAAAATCAGACGTTTCCATCGTTGGTGTTGTAAATTAGTTCCAGTCTACAAGAGAATGCTGTAACTAATTGATATGACCTGGAAGTTGATAAAGTTCATAACAGTAAAGTTAACCTTTCCTCTAATAACTTGACAAATCTAATCTCTTTTAAAGTCCCATATAGACTATGTACCCTGCTCACTTCTTTGTGATGGACATTTGTTTCTGCATAGAAGTGATAATGCTTTTCCAGATTTTTATTGATTTGTGCAGCAGGTGCCTTAATTTATTAACGTCAGAAGAAAGGAAAGCTATTACATAACAACTAGTTAGATCTCTGGCAGAAACCATATATTAGAGTTATTGTTTATGAGGCTGTATTGCTTATGATCACTATTTCTGATTGCTGATAATCAGTCTATTAAATACAAAATGGCATTTATAAATGTATCCCAAAGATAAATATCTGGTATGTCTGTGAAGACAGAAGTGTGCTACATTGCTATAGTAAAGAAAAAGGAACTCGTGTGTTCAAGAACAAAAGCTAGCAAAGTATTTCAAAGGCGTATTACTCAACCAAGACTGGTACTGGTTTCACATGGATTTCACTCCTTTGTTCAGTGTGCTTGAAAAGGGGTACATTTAAAATAAAAAGCAAATTCAGTTTGGTCATGCAGAACCTCCCAGGTTTTCCTCCAGACTTCTCACTGGTTGACTTGAGTAGCCTGTGGTTACAGTATGATTGCTAAATAGTTTGGCTTTTGATTTATGCCATGTATAATTTCCAAGTAGTAAACACAAAGCTCCTGACATTTTGGTGATCACTGACTAATGTTTCCCTCTTGACAAGGAGAGCTGGATATTTTAATTTTACTTAGTGAAGAGTACAAATAAACTATACTCCTTTCCTGTAAGATAAGCCGTGAAAATGGGTCCATACCCATCTGGACAGTGCCTACCTGGACCTTCAGGACCTGGCCTTAAATGCTACATTTGTTCTATAAATGTTTTGGTTAACTATTTTTGAGGGGGCTTTTTGGTGGGGATTTTTCTAGTCCTGTGGCTGGTATGTTTGCTTGTCTCAAGATTTTCTCCTCTTCCTAGTTCCTTTCTTTCTCATCTCTTTCATCCTTTCTTCTGCCTCTGAACACAACGGTTCATTATTGCATCACCTGCTATTCTGCACATCAGAAGAAAAAGATCTCATGTAAAGGAACCAGCAAGTAGATTACCTAGCCATGTGTAGGCTAATGAACACAGCAGTCTGAGGTTACAACACAGACTAGGAGGTAGGACTAATTCTGTTCCTAGCGCATTTAATTTTGCTTCTAGATCTCTTCCAGGCTTTTACATAGGCTTGCTCTTAGAGGGCCTTGCTGATGGCGCTTCAGGATAATATTTTCGCACAGTCTAAAAATTAAGTGAGGCTCCAATAATCCAGTTCAAGATTAAAAAAATAGTCTGTCTACATTAGTCTCATGAGTTCATATTTAGGCTCCACTCTTGCAAAACATTCAATATGAGCAAAATTCTAGGTACTCCTGGTGGGTTCAGGGGTCTTGCCCTGTCAAACAGCATCATGTAACCACAGCCTATAAAGGAAGTTAGGGTGCTCAAGTCCTCTGTGCCTGAATTGGATGCAAGACCTCAAGCTACTTAAACAAAACAAAAATCTTGACTTTAAGAAAGTAGTTGCTCAGCAAGTCATTTCACAGCCCCTTGCTAAAGCAGCCTATCCCCAATCTGCAGTACCACTGTCACTCGGGTTTCTTGTGAGCAGTCTGATCACAAGTATAAAATCTTCAGTTGCATGAACCAAACTTTCCCAATTCCTATTTACTTGTGTCCCAGGGGGATGTAAACCAAGTTTTTCAAAGGTGAAAGGTAGGAGGGTGTGTTTCTTGTTTACCTGAAGTTTTCAAATACTGTTTTTCCTCTATTAAGCAGGTGCACCATTTTTGTCCTGTGTCATACATACCATGGAATCACTAATGATGCATTTAATTATATCAAGCCATGTGATATGACTGATGCAAACAGACATGAAGTGTCAAAACACGATTTGTTAGTTGGAAAAAATTCAGAGACACATTTAATTATTTTTCCTTTCTTCAACAAAAACATCATTTTC